GGGGCGGGGGGGGGGGGGTGGTGAGGCAAACGGAGACCCATTTGACGCGCATAAAATCAATAGTCCTTGAATGTCCACAGGTCGGGACAGACAAAATAATGGTATGTTCGATTATAAAAAGCAAAAACAAAGACGGAAATATGACTGCTGGGTTCAAAGTCGCTAGCGCAGCTGTGGGGGGCCGCGCTGGGACGATCAGTGCTGCTCTCCTGCTCCTCTTCCCGAGGCAGTAATGTGGACAACCACTCTCGCGGCATGGCCTCTTCAATTACGGGACCGGCTGAAGTTTCTCCTCCCTGATCAATCTTTGTGGCCTTCTGCGACTCGGAAGGTGCGTGTATTCCGCAATGTGAGCGCAGCTGAGCCAAGAAAACCGCTCGAATTTTGCTGGACGCTATTCTAATTAAGGTATGCATTTTGGTGCGCACCGCTCAGAACATTCACATCCACTAAAAACATCTGTCTGATACTACAAACTGGGAAAAAATTTTTTGCCTAGGTCTAAGAGCTCCTAGAGCCTGTCCCCCCCCCCGGAATGGGCAACAATACTCACCGCCTGGCTCTCAATCTTTTCTTCGCACCTTCCAGCACTGAATTCTGCCTAACATTAAGGAAATCAAAAGTGGCGTGAAAGTTACCCTCGTAACATTCTCGACCTTCCAGGAAGTGCAAAATTGGAATCACCGAGATTCCAGGAGATCACTGCTGCACCAAAATGCCCACTTATGCTGGACTAGCGCCCTTTTTCATTCAAACCCATTTATGACAATGATTTAATGAATTCAGAACGAAGATGATGTCACGTCACGTCTTTTGACAAGTAATGGACGTTTTATACGTTTCTTGTGTCATCACGAGCGTCACATCATGACTGCCTCGCACTTCACAAATTCAATCAGCGTGAGTAGCACGAAAAAAAATGAAGACATCTCAAACACGGAGAATGAACATCGTCCTTCGAAACAACGTTGTTGTACACGTAATTGATTAATTAAATTGGATTTCTTGATGACCGCAGTCTACGAACACAACAAGCGAAGGCAGTCGTTTGGTGCGACACTTTGCCGTTTAGCTGTTCTGGCGGGGTAGGTGCCCTATCAAATTGGCTAACTCCTCTGAATCTCTGAACTATGGAGTTTTTTTTTAAACTGATGGCCTACATAAAGCCGGGCGCAGCAAAATGTTGAGTCACTTGCTCCCACGGTTGACTTGTACCCTGAGACGCCCTAGTTCGATATTTCGGACGAGTTGCCGCAAGACGATGGGGTGGCCTCAGAACATCTGCGAACAGCGAAGGCTTCCTCCTTATTTCTTTTCTCCTTCTGCTTCCTTCTTTTCCTTTCTTCCTTCTCCCCTCCCTCCCTATTTCCCCCACCTGAATACAAAAGCCTTGTAGATTCGCGATGCGTTAAGGGCGTCCTTTAAACATTCCCAGCAGGACCACTCTATCGTTCAACCTTTTAAGTTTTTTTTTCTTCTGGATGATTTCTCGTTATTCCTCTTATTTCTTTTGAAAAGTCAAGCAAGAGGTCAAGCTGAGATGGTTATGCCAGTCAGATGGTGCTTCCTAAATTCTGTGACAGTTCTCAGATCACGCCTATGAGTCTTTTTCATACTATGTTACTGTCACATGGGTTTCACGACAGTTTCCGAAACGCAAACGCACCGCTTATGCGACCATTAGCCAGTTATGCACCCTCTGGAGGTTTTCGCTTTTCTGGGAGCACCTTCTACTTTCTTTTTCTTTAGACGTCTTCGACTTTATTTTTCTTTAAGTGATTTGTGAGCCATTCGAAACACTGAACAATTCTCTCAAAGAGTACTACTATATGGTACACATGGTTAGTCTTGAATAGAGTTGGTGCTGCGAAGTGGGCGTTGCTAGTAAGGTGTTCGTGCTGGGACCCGACCAGGTGAAGGTGGCTGTGCTTTTTCACGTTAACTAGCTGGTAATTTGGGCGCGATGCCATGACTTAAACTAACGGCATCATCCATGCGTGGCTTTGCGACAAATTCTTCCGCGCCCCGAGATGAAAGCCGCGAAGGCTCTGGTCATCTGCGCTTTTCCAAGGAACAAGAGCATAGTCCTGTACCATGCGCCCCACATGAATAGGATAATAGTCTGAAATATCTCTTTCTCGACGGGCTACTATCAGAACTATTCTAGTGAGAGTTCATATGATCTATATCAATATATCAAATTATTTGTTTCTTGATAGATAGGAAACACATTCAATTGCTGCGATTTTGCTTCAAAACATTGGGGTCTAATACCGACCTGTTTCTTTCCGGGACGACATACACAATTGCCAACCAAAAGTGAAAATTCGACGATTGGAATAGGCTGGCAGGAGAGGGATAGCTGTTTTTGTCGCAGCGAGTACTTTGTAGATGCTAGCCGCGGTATTCTTGCAGGGAGACTTGAAAGCCTGCAAGTGAAAGGGGGGTGGGGAGCGGAGGGATGAATCACATGGGTTCTGGTGCGAATACCGCGTACGTGACACTGTACTCTTTACTCTTTGACGGACTCATTACCTTCTTCCTCCACTACGTGTTGCACTACACCGGAGAAAAAAGTGTACTCATTTCTTTACAGCACTTGCGCAAATTTTCGCAGTTTTCTGAAATTGCTCGGTGCTGCTAGGGGTCGAGCAACGTGATGGTCATTGCTGGGGGTGGCGCACTCGGCGTTGATAGGATCCTCTTCGTGAGAAAATGTGAGCAGGAAGGAAAAGAAAAAAGGCGTGCGAGGCTACTCTCTGATAACGCGATTTGGCGTAAAAGTAGTTGAGAGGACGCGGGGGCGCAGACAGTTGTCGTTAGAAAGATGTGGAGTGAAAAAAAAACAGGAGCAAGGGTTTAGTCCTCATCTCTGAGACGGAGTAGGCGTGTCATTCGGATATGACACGCAATGAGTTGTCAAATGGCGGTGTGGGTACGACCCCCCCCCCCCTCGAAGAGGGTCCAGATACGACCCCCCCCCTCCTGCTCTAACTGACAACCAGATGCATGTTCACCACAAATGGCTTCCTGAAATGGAATCTGGATTCTCGAAAGGCGCACTCTGCTCTAAAATACAGGAAATAAAAGGCTGTTTCAGCCTCATGCAATATGAGGCTGAACAACAGCCTCGCATTACCTACAATTTTGTCTTAGGATTCAAAATAAAACTCCTCGTTCGATAACTATGTATGACATGCAACTTGTAACAAGAAACACAATTGAAATAGCGGCTAATGGTGATCATTGATAGGCTGAATTGGTGAAAAAAAATAGCCCCAAGGTGAGCGTGTCAGGGCCCAGATGTGCATTCAATGAATGGTGACGGGGAAATAATGAAAACATGCACGACACAACAAAGCGAAACATGGAAAATACAAAAAATGCAGAGCTAAATGAAAAAAGGATAACCAGGCCGGCAGTAAATCGTTCCATACTTGGCTATTATCGATCAGGCTGCAGGGCGCAAGGCTGCGACCGCTTTCTTTGGAAAAACGTCATTGGAGCGCGGTTGTTGGACTTGCCAACGTCCTGGGGTCTGTTCGGGGGTTATATCTTTTTTAGGTGCGGAGCTTTTGAGGAATGGTGAGCAGCATGCAACGGCAAAGTTTCTACTATTGTGTATTCTACCTAGCTGCAAACTGAACAATCCCCCGTTGGTGAAATATTCCGGATGGGTCACGGTTAGGCCAGGGGTAAATCGCGAGCTGGTTTTCATGATTCACACAAGGACTCCTTCGTTCATACGCAATTTCATCAGGACTGAAGTCGTCTTGAAACCCCTCCATCTTTCTCTTTCCAATAAGCTTTACAGTTTTTCTGAAGACCCACTAGTTCAGGAGATATTTTAGATGGGTTACCCTTGCGCTACCCCCTGGACCACCCGAAAAATTGACTCCTTATGTGCCATTGTGAGGATACACCTTCGAAAACTTCAGTGTGCCTCAAAACACATATTTCCCTTCAAATGAGTGAAAGAGAAGCTCGGCTATCTCTGATCGAGTCCGTGCGCCGTGCATTAGGCTCCTACGCAGAGGTGGTGGAAAGGTGTAAATTCTGATTTCAGGTGCTTTTATCCATGCAAGCAGATGTTTGTTTAGGGTTTGGAAAGGACAATACGCACGAATCTGTTTGAGACGTATTATTTAGTCATCTACGTACTTACGAGTTCATGCTATAAACTGACACTTATTTATTTATTTATTTATTCTTGCTATATTGCTAATAAATCTTTTATTATTTTGTATTCCTATTTACATCCGGGTCTTCTGAAGCTTTCCGTCCGTTCCATTACCCTTAGCAATGACACCTTTGTACTGTTTGATGCCTAGCGAGCCTACTTTTGCGATACTCCCCACCCCCGCGGCCAAGTACGAACCCATTCTTGGGGATTTCCCATGAAAAGAGGGCTGTTAAACGTAGCATTTAAAGCTGTAAAGAATACACTCATAATAAACTTCATTTTTTTTAAACATCTTGACTTCGTGGCGGTTGACTTCTGGTGGTTTTCCTGTTTCATGCGTACTATATGCCTTCCCCTACTCCCCCACCCCCCGCCGCTCGACAGCAAAATTTTTGGTGAAAAGTAGAAAGTTTTCGGGAAATTTTGGAAAAAAGGGGAAAAGGGGCAGGAAGTTGGGGAAGTCTGATTGTAGAAGGGGGGGGGGTCGTATTGTCTCGCGGCTTTTCCTGTTTCACATGTGCTGTTTATCCCCTCCCCCCGCTCGACGGCTCGATTCGATGAGGAAGGACAGAGGGCTGGGGGGGGGGGGTCGTACCAACTCCCAAAAAAAAAGGGGGGGGTCGTATAGAGTCGACTAAAATCCCCAACCAATGATGTGCCCTGCTTCAACAACTACCGCCACTCAAGGATTGAGGACGTTGAGGTGGTTTATATAAGAACCGCATCACAACGGCTAATGCCGTTTGGACTCCAGCAATTTCGGCACCGAGCTCATTTTTAAATTGCCTAAGTCACCAAACCCGCTGAAAACATGTACACAAGGGTTATTTACCATCGTGATTACAATTATGACACTCATTCTTGGCGCTGGCGCCAAGGGATGACACTACGATTACCTCTTGGGCTCAGCCTTAGCGGAGCGCAGATAATCGTAGTGTCATCCATTAGCGCCAGCGGCAAGAGTGAATGTCATATTCGTAATCAGGATGTTAAACTACCCCTAATACAAGTTTTTAGCGGATTTGGTGACTTAGGCAATTTAAAAATGAGCTCGGTGCCGAAATTGCTGGAGTCCAAACGGCATTAGCCCATCACAACTCGGAAAATGTTTTTCAAAAATCGTTTGGAAATCAACGAAGCTCATCTTTACTTTTCGAATTTCTGCTCGTTTACTATAGGCTGCTTACCCCTGAAACGGAGTGGGCATGGAGTCTGGACATGGCATACGGTGGGTTACTTGTGGGATATTTCATTTTGAGACAACTGCCACCGGTGTTGGGCAAAGACATGACAACTGTTCCATGATGAAAATATCTCAAAGGAACCTTGACCGCGCCACGCCTACCGCATCTCAGGAATTTTGAGGGGATAGTACCGAATCAGCAAAGCGGAAATAAATAATCACTCTTTTAGTAAAAGTGAGTGTCGCCTATGTAGAGCATTGGGTGTTATCGGGTATTCTTTGTTTCATTACCGGCACAGTTATCGATTGGTGCGTCAGCCTTGCACGCGTTGTGAGGGTAGTTTTTTAGTAAAGTAATTATTCGGCGTCTGACCTTTATCCTTTACCTCGTCTTCGCCAAAATATTTTTGTAGACGTGTTACCATTTTATGAGTTCGTTGTGGTTCCAAATAAGAAATCACACAGCATTTGGCGGGATTTACTCCTGTTTCGCAGGTCACATGGATTCAATCGATAACGAACCTGAATGAGTAAAGCTTTGCCGACCGTGAAGCCATTGCGATTCATAGGCGAATGGTGTTCATTTCCCTTCGTTATCAATCACTTATCGTTTATCATGATCTTTTCACGTTTATACTTGTCGGAAAATTCTTCAGAACGCCATGAACCCAACATATTTCTGAACATATTTCATTAATCTCGATTATTTTTTGACATTTATATTTTTTGCCATTTATATGTTTGCTTGCTGGATCGTTTGTTATTTAAATGATCTTTTATTCTTTCTTAGCTAGCTAAATACCCTTCGGCAATGTTCTGCGTACTATCGTGCAAGACTGTCGTCTCTTTCGTTAGCGTCTATTCGTCAAGGTTAATGACCCATTAATTTTTAATTGCTTCGGGACCACGGGTGAAGGATGATGTGCTTGGCATTAGTTTACTCTTTGATATGTTTCCTGTTCAGGACGTTTTGGAAACTTTTGGTAACGGTAAGTGCTCCCCACCCCCTAAACCCTTTCCTCCGGTAGAATGCCACTCTCACACCAGCATCTTATCAATCCTACCCTAAATTTTGCTATCCGGTGGAGGGGGAGGGGGAGCACGCGGAGTGGATACCTTCAGCTATCAGAAAACAGGTTTTGCAGCGCCGCCAACCGAGGGGTGGGGGGGAAACAACCGTCGTGGAGCGACCTGGAACAAGGGGGTCGGTATGTTCAAATCTGGGTATTTTTCCCTCTGGACTGGTGGCAGCTAGTCTACCTCAGGGGAATGGAAGAATTAGCTAGTTCCAGTCAGTGACGACATTACGAGGAAGCTGGATGTAGTTCTGCACAGCAAAGGCGCGGCGTCGCGCACGATGAACACCTCCAGCTGGTTGACTCGACAGAACGTTTTGGCTTCATATCAATCGCCTCAGGGCGCGTTTATACTCCGCGATCCGACCGCATGGATCGCTCGAGCGTTTGGATTTTGCGATTGGAAGCTCGAGCGCTTGGATTGCGCTGTCACAACCCGAGGGCGCTCAACCGCTAATCGGTGCGCCACCGCAACGGTAGTATTCAATCATACAGCGCACGTACGCGGCCCAGCTCAAATTCTGCCGTTGCGGTGGTCCAACAGTTGGCGGCGGAGCGACCCGGTCGTGGTCGCGCTATACGGTCGGTTCGTGAGGTATGAACGCGCCTTCATGGCACGCCTCACCTTATACTGTCATTAGGCGGCTTTCTTGGAAAATCGGAAGTGAAAGAGATTGTTCTGTTCCGTCTCGGAATTCAAGGACCATTGTTAGATCACGCTCATCATTCAAGGGTTTCAACTATAGAATGGCATGGCTTCATTTAGTGATCCTCACGATTCAAATGGAAGAGAGCAACTCATGAACTATCGATTTTTTTGATGAGGCCGTCAAATAAATGATATAGACGTGGTTAGCCATTAACTGTTTGACGCCAAAGTGTGACGGGGAGTCAACTAGCTAGGAATATTAGTGAATCGCGCCATGTTGCGTCTGGGTTGTCCCACTATTTACCCAAGTAACATATTTCAAAATGGTCAGACACCTGATACGAACAGTTAGCCCACAAAGAGTCCCCGTCTCCTGAGTTTTCTATGAAACCCAACTCTTTGACTCTCATTTGAAGACCTCTTACTGCAAGTAATTTGGTTTGTCACCACATCTGTAAGTAACATACATTCATGTATCCCTATCCTTAGGCCTTACATCCCTCTAGATTTTTATCCCTCCAGGCGCAGCTGATGGACCCTCGACTTGCTTTCCCTCCGTCCCATGTTTTGTTTGGATGACTGACAAGTTGTTAACGTCTATGTCCTCTGCTGAACACCTTCTGAATTACTTGATTATCTCGTAATCCACTCGTATCGGCTGATTCTTTTTCTCGGCTTGATTTCTTATTCCTTCTACAACGCTGTTACCAGTATATCCCTTTTTAACAAAAAGCGCTCAGCTGTGTAGAGCACAATAGCACTTCCGCGATAATTGTATGCAGCAACTTTCGATAAAAGTAAAAAAAGCGGTCTGCAGTCAAGGACATTGTGGAAGTTGTGCTCAAAATCACGAATCTGTTGAATTAGCACGTTTTTTTTAACGCGGTGTTTAGCGCTCATAATCGATAACCGCACAAAGGAATTTCCTTTGAGCTAAATTGTTTTATGTCCGAGCATTTGAAAGACATGAGGAGGATTACTGTAATTGAGTTGCTTTAGTGGTAGCTATCAAGTTTGACCACTTCCGCATAGCAGCAATGAAATTGCTGCCATTGTCCGAACCAAACTACCCACTTCCCCGTTTGCGCTCCCCATTGAGGGTGATAAATGTGGGTTTGAGGTAGACGTCAACGATCTGTTGGGTTGTAATTCAACGTTGCTACTCTGCTTTTCCCTTTGCTTCCGTCCTCATCTATCCATAATTTCTAATTAATAATCGATTTCCGGTGTTTTCGTCGTGGCGTCGTCGGCAAGATTTCAGGCAAGATCAATTCTGAGGGAAAAATGTCGAGAGTTGTGCGATTTTCTACATGATCTTCAAGAGGAGTAATTGAAGGCCGACGCTGACGGGGGAATGTGTCGATTAAGTTTAAGCAAAAGAGTTGGAAACTGCACACTGCAGGGCAATTACGTTGGCATGAGGGGCTACCAGCGTGATTTTTAAAATAGATGTTGCTGATATAAAGACTAAATATGAAAGTATTGCTTCTCCCAGCCCCAGGGTTATGAATAGACCAAGCAGAAGCTTTTTCGCCCTTTCGAAATCGAATGCAGGGACAGCGCGCGAACGGAGAACTTCTGGAATGAATACGACTCCCTCCTCACTCGCAACTTGCCCATTTTTCCATTCTTCCGATTTTGTGCCAATTCCCCGGAAGTTTTCACAAATTTTCTCCAGGAAGTTCTCTTGCGGCTCGAGAAAATTCTGCACTACGGTTTTCCTTCAATGCGACCCCAGCACCTACACTCCTTATCCCTGAGTCAGAGTAGGCGTGGCATTTGAACATGGCACGGAACTGGTTACTCGTGGAATATTCCAGTCTGGGACAACTGTCATCTTGTTCTGTGCTGGACAGAGACACGACAACAATTGTGTCAAGATGAAAATATCTCACCCAGAAGCATAGATACCTTCAGGTTAAGTTGAAACATGGGGGCCACGCCTACCGATGTCGGCGATTTCGAGTATAATATAAGGTGCCTCTCGTCCGCGAAGTCGGTGTAAATTCAACGATCTTATGCTTTGGATCGAGGACAACAGTGCCATGCAGGCATTCGTTCATGTCGCGGTCAGCACTGAAAAGTGCGGTCTTTTCTTCACACGAAGCACTCGTTCCCGTAGTGGCTAGCAGTGGATTATATATTGGTGCTGTTATGACGTAAGATCCCACGGCTTCACCATATAACACCTAGGGAAAGCCTAATCAGTGGTCAGCTATTCTACGGTTGTAAGCTTCCCAAACCGCCGTTCGCGCTTGAGTTTAGGGCTGGAATGGCGACAATAGGCATCGGAACTATGGCCGTCCAAAGCCTAAACCTCGGATGTGTGACAAGAGGATCGTAATCCGCCGCGCTGCTGGGCGTCGCGTGCGACGTCTCTTCTGCAAAGGACGATGCTTCCAGGTAGTAGATGGCAACAAGATGCTATTAAGGACCGAAAACAGTAATGACTGTCTACGATGACGGGGTCTACATGAAGTCCGGTGCTCCATTCGACAGGTTAAAACGAGTTATGAAAACGCCGCGCCCATCGCCGCGCGTGGCGGTGCGGCAAATTACGATCCTCTTTACCGTCTCCCCTAAACCTCAGCGCTCAGTCTCTTTGGAAGAAGCGTCAATGCAGAGATTGACGTCAATCTAGTTTCGAATTAGGACGTTATCTATACAGCTCACGCGTCGACAGGGATATCAGTCAACTTTACTATGAGGTAGAATCTGTGAGAGATCGGCTATGCTCACGACAAGCCATAGTACTTCGTCACATGGGTGGAGGATTTATTGCGGTGGTTTGCCCACTTTATTCACACCAATTTATTCCTGGAAGTGGTCTAGCCAACCACGTACCCACACCCAGGTCAGAGAATGGTCAGGCCCCGGCTCAACTCCTACCCACGGCGACCAAATTTTTCATCTTTACAGGGCCGTTAAATTACTACCGCCCTCATTCAGATAAATACAGAGGCTGCAACGCTCCATCCCTGAGATGGCCAGGACATGGCTGCGTAGTTTATTTGAAGATGGCGCAAGATGATTTTTCCAAGATATCTCCTTTTGGGACAATTCTCCTTTCTTGTGGTGGACAAAATATGGCTTCAGTTGTCCCAGAACGAAGATATTTCGTCAGGTTGTCAGCGGCAGCTCCCTGCCTCGGGATATGGAGTGTACACCCCCCCCCCACCACCACCACATGATTTTGCAGACCCAAATAAAAATTTAAAATTGGGGTAAATTTGATTGGAGTAGGATGCATAGCGTATTCCAAAAATAGACTGATCTTCGCCAGCTTTGTTCTAGCTTTGTCCTTTAAGAAAACCTAAAATTACCGTCAGCAGGATTTCCATGAATGTCTTCTGCTTTAGGGATCATTAGATATAAAGTTCAAGCCTGATACCCACATAATCTCACAGCCAGACTTATTTAGCGGGGCCTGACCATCTCACATCCAATGAACCGTCAAGTATTCTAAGCCACTCGGCTGTGCTACGCAATCATTCGCTTCGCTTCATGGATTTCTCATGCGCATTTTGTTTTTATGCATTGAACTTTCGCAGCCTGACTGGATCCTTTCACGGTCAAATGACAATGGACTGTGGCCGGCTGTCAGTTAGGCGATAATGGAATTAAAGAATAGAATTTTGTCGATGTGAATGCATGTTAACATCTACAGTATACTGTTTCGAAAAGGCAAAAAAAGGACGAAGCTGCTGTCATAGCCGTCTTTCTACAAACTGCTGCCTCATCTGAGCAAGGGATTAGCGCTAGTCGAGTCTTGAAATGAAGCCTTTGAAAAACATGTGAAACCAATCGATTAAGCTGGCTATCGACGTCACGGTTAAGTGCTAAAGGATTCGTGTAGACTCGAAGGTGGGATATCTTCCCCTAAATCGGATGGAACATTATAGGTTGACCGACAAGAGCTTAAACTTGTAACTCGTGGGAATCAATACAAAACGGGAAGATAAAGGAGATGAGGAGGTAGTTGGCTTTTATCGGTTTTATCAAGATTCTTCCCATTGTCTAACAGAATGTATGTAAAAAAAGCCCACAAACACATGCACTGAAGGGAACACTTATACAGCATAAAAGGACGGAGAGTAAAGCTCTTGACTTGATTAGTTCACGTTTGATTGCGCCACGTATTCTATGTCTGTTCAGAATCGG